ATTTTTTGTTTTTATAAAAATTTACGTATATTGCATATGTATAATCAGTTGATTAGTTTTATATAATTTCTTTATTTAATTCTTCTTTTTTTTTACAAGAAAATATGCCTTCCAATTTCGCTATTTGAACAAAAATTTATACATTTCAGATTGTATTATTTTTATACAAATTTATATTACGTATTTATAATCAGTTGATTAGTTTTATATAATTTCTTTATTAATTCTTTTTTTATTACAAGAAAATATGCCTTTCAATTCACAATTTGAACAAAAATGTATACATTTAAGATTGTATTATTTTTATAAAAATTTATATTACATATTTATAATCAGTTGATTAGTTTTATATCATTTCTTTGTTAATTCTTTTTTTATTACAAGAAAATATTCCTTCCAAATTCACAATTTGAACAAAACTTTGCACAAAACTGTCATGTGACAGGTTTGAGATTAGGTCGATGATTTGAAGTCCTTGTCAAAACACTGATTCACGTTCAACATCAGCTTCCATATATGTTTTTCATGTTAATTTATTTACTAACCGAACTGCATTTCTGTATTTCTTCCTCTGGCTATGGCTTTTCCCAATTGGCTTGCAGAAGGAAAGTCTGTCTAAAAAGCAAGCTTTGTGCATTAAATTATTTACAGTGTGGTTGCAGCCACAAGGGTGATGATTCATTGTATTCTGATGTTGAAAAAGGGCCTGACTTCATTTCTATCAAACACATGTGTTTTGCAGGATTGCGGTCTGCAGTTGAATGATGAAGAGGGGCATCGCTGTTACCCGCTGGATGGGCACCTGCTGTGCCACCGATGCCACCTGCACCGATTAAAAACCCCTCTACCGACCCACCCGCCCCCGAGTTACCCGCTCCACGTCACTGAACTGTGAAAACACAGACTCACGCTGAACATGAACGACGAGCAAGAGGAATTAAAGACCCCTAAACAGTAAACAGGGGTTCGGTCGTGCCTGTATTTCCACTTGTTTGGGGTTTATCTGACCAACCGGGGAGGCTTTTATTACTTTAATCCCTCATCACGGTATGGAGGGGTTTGGGCTCTGTTTGGGGTCTTCAGCACTGCCGCAGGGCGACCTGTGCCTGCTTTTCCTCCCGAACACCAAACAACAGCACTGAACACAGACTGAGATACGACTTCCTGTGCCTTCTTCGGAAATCCTGCGTCGAACAGGCCGTCACTGCCTTCAAGACGCACCATTTCTGTCTTGTGCCAAGCAGCCGGGGGTCTTTAAAGGGACAGTTCACCTAAAATTATAATGAGCATTTACTCACCTTCATGTCGTTCTAAACCTGTGAGCTTTTCTTTCGTGGAAGTCATTTAGCAAAATTACTAAAACTGTTGCATGCACAGGTAAGTTTTGAGATTTTGGGCTATTTTGTCTCCATAACAATTCTTATTTGAGATATCCTCTAAAATACACATTTAAGTGTTTATTTTATTACACTTTAGCTATTTGCAACTGTAACTTTCAATTCCAATACATTTTCTCCACTTCAGCAGTATTTACACCAAACTTTAGAGTTTTATTCTTATATATATTCTGGTTTGTTCATATATGATTCACCTGATATATATATATATATATATATATATATTTTAATCCCTTCTTTTCTGACAGTATTTTCTAATTTATTGAAATAAAAGAGAAATCCAAAAACCCCTCTGTAAAAATATGCCAGCAAAATTTTGAACCGATGTTCGTATTTCTGTTCTGAAAATGTATGGAAATTAGTGCATATCTAATACTTAATTTTAATAAAAATTTCACATTTTTACTCTGCAAAAAAAAATTTTTGTCTTGTTTTCATTCACGTACAAATATCTAAACATTTTTTAATCAAGATACATTTACTTGAGAAGCAAATTTACTTGAGTCTTGTTTTTTTAAAAATGTATCCAAATTTTGTTCGTTTTTGCTTAAAACAAAAAAAAAAATTGCCAATGGGGTCAGAAAAATAATCTTAATTCAAAGGGAAAACAAGATTATTTTTCACAGATATTTTTTCTCGTTTTAAGAAAAAAATCACTTAATTTTTATACATTTTTAAGAAAACAATACTTAATATCTTTTCAGTTAAATGTATCTTGATTTAAGAATGTTTAGATACTTGTACTTGAAAACGACAAAAATACTAAGTAAGAAATTCATTTTTTGCAGTGTATTTAATAATGCGTCTTTTGCATATTTAAGCATAACATTTCAGAAAACTTGTAATACAAAATAATGCCCTTAACTCTTTCCCCGCCAGCATTTAAAAAAAAAAGTTGCCAGCCACCGCCAACGATTTTGATGATTTTCACAAAAATTTGATGGCCTCCAGTATATTTTGCTGTGGGAAATTCTAGCTTAAAGCATTCCTGTTTTATCAACACTTGAATATAGGTAGGTTTCATAAAAAATGCATCATTTTGAGCAAAAAGGTGAGAAAATCACATTTTTATCAAAAACTACATCTGGATAATATTCAGTACGATTATCAAAGCATAAATCCAGTAAATCACTTCTGCATCAATACCTCCAAAGCTTGCACAGACATATACCACTTCCTAAATCAACATTTTACTCTGTAACATTATGCAGTTTTCATTTATATGCTGTCTATTGCTGATGATCGCATTATTTTTCATTTGCATCTGTTTACATAAGAGATCGCTAGTTTCTCCATCCTGTTCTCGTGTGTTTTTGTTCGGGAGGTTTTGTACTCATTCAGAAGATGCGTAATAGTGCCCCCGAGTGTATAACAGTGAAAACACGAAAAGCCGTAAAAACTTTGGCGGGGAAGTGTTTTCTTGTAAAAGACGAGATAACTCGTCAATGGCGGGGAAGGAGTTAAAATGTACTATGATTAATCAACCGAGGAATGTATGGTGATATCTAATAGTTATAATTTTCCTTATTAACCTGTGGTGTCTTGCCTTAAATTGTCCATAATTTGTTCATGTTTGGAACAACATGAGGATGAGTAAATAATAGTGAACTGTCCCTTTAAGCATCACTTAAATGGCGGCAATGGTCCGAACACTGATGCATCACTGGCATACCTGTGGCATTTACTTCACCAGGTGACGTTGTGAAACCTGCTGCACATAGATGGACTAACAAATGTATATTTAGCTGAGGTCTGACATGGATCTCTCTGGCTGGGGTCGGAGAGGCTGTTATGACCTGACACCAGCAGAGCGAGGTTGGATCTGTGAACGCGGAGGATCTTCTCCACTGAAATGTTTGGACTCCTACGTCGTGCTCTTCAGACACTGGTTTGTCTCTGGATGAGCTGCCTTATATATTCCTTAACGTGGAGGAGACGCGCTGTGATGTGTCTCAGGAGACTCTTAAGGGATTCTACAGGTGTGCAGGGGTCAAAGGTCAAGCCTGGATGTGCTGGACTCAACCAGGCCGGAGACCTGCTGCGTTCGTCCTGTGTTTGTGTGCGACACGTCGTCTTTAGCAGTTGCGATGCAATGAAGCGGAAGGCAACAGAACATTTTGCACGTCAGAATAATAGTAAAGTCATGAAAACTATGAAGTAACGCACGCAGAAGTCTGGGAATGATGTCAAAATGACTATTATATTTGAGCTTCTTCTTTGTCTAGATTCACGTGAACAAAAAATACGTGTTGCTGGAAGCTTATTGCATCACATTGCACCTGTTTAGGACATAAGTGAGCGTGTATGTGGAAAAGAGAGTCTGTGTGTAGTTGTGTATATGTTCATGTACACTAGTGGCTGGGTCACTGTGTGTGTGATTGTGTGTGTGCCTGTGTCAAATACAGCAACCCCAAAGAGTATTTAGACACTTAAATAAATAGTTCACCCAAAAATGAACATTTGCTGAAAATGTGCTCACCCGCAGGTCATCCAAGATGTAGATGAGTTTGTTTCTTCATCAGATTTGGAGAAATGTAGCACTGCATCACTTGCTCAGCAATGGATGCTCTGCAGTGAATGGGTGCCGTCAGAATGAGAGTCCAAACAGCTGATAAAAACATCACAATAATCCACAAGTAATCCACAGCACTCCAGTCCATCAGTTAATGTCTTGAGAAACCAAAAGCTGAAAAAAATCCATCATTAAGACGTTTTCACTTTAAGACGATGCTTCTGGCTAAAATATGAGCCTATAATCCATTAATAATAATGCTTCTTTCAGTGAAAAAGTCCATCTCATGTTGTCTCTCACATCAAAATCCAGCCACATATTTGTTTAGAGCTGCTTTGAATGGATCTGTGCAGGTTTCTCTCCTGATTCAGATGAGACGTCTTTTTCACGGGAAAAAGTTTTATTATGGATTATGGACTTGTATTTTAGCCGGACGTTAAAAACATCTTGATGTATTTGTTTCTTACAAACACACAGCTTTTGGCTTCTCCAGATGTTATCTGCTGGACTGGAGTGGTGTGGATTACTTGTGGATTATTTTGATGTTTTTATCAGCTGTTTGGACTCTCATTCTGACGGCACCCATTCGCTGCAGAGCATCCATTGCAGAGACACTGATGCAATGCTACATTTCTCCAAATCTGATGAAGAAACAAACTCATCTACATCTTAGATGGCTTGAGGGTGAGCACATTTTCAGAGCATTTTCATTTTTGGCTGCACTGTTCCTTTAAGCGTCTTAAATGCTTCTCGGGCCGCTGTACATGCTTCTGTTCCACACAGACGTCTGCTGTAATACTACTGACAGAAACGGGCTGTATGTGTTTCCCTGACTTGAGAAGTCCTGATAGAGAGAGTTGTTTTCTAAATCCAGTGGCTTCTTATCTGCAAAGCAGACTGTAAAACTCATGAAGATGTGTGTTTGCTGACTGATTACTGCACATAACGTCATCCTGACCTTGTTTTTGGTGGAGGAGGTTTCCCAGAGATTTAGTGAAAGGAATACTCTGGATTAATGTACAGCGTCTGTGACATGCCGTCGACTGCCAGAGAAAATCATTTCTACTCGTTTCTCACAACTGAGGTATTTTCTGTGGTAATCGACAGTGTGAATATTGAATATTCTCTTCTCTAGACAGAGTATTTCTTTGAACAGTTCAGTAACCTCAGATTTTTCCCGCTTTCAGATCATTCCCACAAGTGTGTTGTTTTTTTAAAGAAAAAACAAGTGTAATATTTTTCTCCACGTTGTCTTAATCCACTTTTAAAACATACTACTATTGCATAGCACAATGCTAGAGTGCCTGTAAATAACGAGTATAGAATGTATTTCCTGCATTTATCAGAGATTCAATGAACGGTAGCTTTCCTTCAGTTAGTTCTTTAAAAAAAATGCACATCTTACGTTCTGTTGCATCACTTTTTTTTATCGTACAATGTTTTGATTTCCTAGATATTTCATAAATAAAGAAAAAGCAATGTAGATTTATTTATCTAAACGTGAAAAGTTTAAAGTTATTTAATGTATGAAAAGTCGGGATGTATCATTTAACCGTAGATTTATGTAATCTGCTTTTTCAATAAAGTGGTTTTTGTAGTTAACTTAAAACTGTGTGACGGTGATTTTATTTTTATACAGAACCTGGGTGTTTTATACAAAATGACATCTCGGTAACAAAAACAATACTGATTCTCACTTTCAATTCATTTAAAATATTTTATGAATCAAATAATGTAATTATAATAAATAATGTATAATAAGTAGTGTCGTTCTGCGCATTTCTCTAAACACAACAAAATTAGTATTTATAATTAATTTTTTCTTAATGAGGATATATTTGTCCTTGTATTCCCCACTTCTCTTTGCTGTATTGGCCAAATCAGAAAAAAAAATATATATATTTTATTTTTTATTATTTATTTATTGGAAGGGATGGATTTTTAACGAGTCTTTTGATAAAAGACTATCACACTTTTTTTTTAATCTCATGTAAAATAAAACCAGAAACGTATTTAATTGAGATATTTCATAGAAATAGATGATCTAAAGCTGTCCAGAGAACACAAACATCTTTTACAAACATTTTAATACTTTGAATGAATTATTTGTTTTTGTTGTTGCCCTACAGCATGACATCACATCCTGTTGGCTATAAGGAGGTCTGAAGTGATTTTGCACACCTGGGTGAGACTTTAGAGCTCTGTTCTCGTCCAGCATAGATGTCTTGTGGTTTTCCAGTGGCATGTGAAGGGTCGGTGTGTTCATTCAGCGGTGATATCGCATACTGTAATCACACTCGCCGCACCCTGATGTCTGATACAGCATCCCACAGGAGCAAACTGCTCATTCTAGCTCACGAGTTCTCGGTCAAATCATTAAATTAATGCTGTAAAATGAACCTTTATAGCTGCTTAGATCCCTTCGCAAAGACCCGCCCTGGCAGATTCAGCGATATGATTGGTCAGATGGCCTGTC